AAAAAAAAAAAAAAAAAAAAAAACAATGACCCAATCGCCATTTGGAAAAGAATAATTCCTGGCTATAGGGACTGTCTTATGTATTGGAAAAAATGCTTCCCAACCTCTCCAGTTCCTATTTAACAAACGCCTTCCACTCCAATGTCATTTAGACAATCAACAAATTTCCAAAGATTCCCTAAAGAAACCTTTAGTTGAGAACTAATAATACTAAATAAATTAATTTTTAAAAAGATTACTAATTGAATACAGCTTGTTAATTGAGCGGTATTCCACATGATACCCAAAAGATTGTGCTGTCTCATTATTTATCTAATAAATTAATACATCAATATGACTTTAATTTCTCTTCTTCTTATATACACTGGTAAAGTCTTGTGTCTCCCAGTAGTTTTAAGTAGAGGAGATCAAAGAAGTAAAACAGCATGTGTAGCATTTATTTTTAAATTTCAAATATATTGAACCGTGTGTATTGGTAGTTTCCCAAATCACTACAGATTTTTCAACATTTACCTAATACTGGTTGGACATTATTATGTTGGTAATTAAGAAAATTTTTAAAAATGAAGTGATAAAATATAAGTTTTAATGAAACAAATGGTTTCAGGAAGGTACCAAATTACTGGAGTAAAAAATCAGAGTCCTAAATCTTTCCACTTCTCCAATGATATTACAAGAACAGCAATGCACGTCAGCCTTACTCATATCACAGAAAGAAAAACATGTGCCTGAAACATGTATTTTTAAAAACTATTATCTTTAGATACAGTCTATGAATAGTTTCCCCAGAATCTTGTAAAGATGATGTAAGCCTCTTAAAAAGCTTAAAGCATCATGTTGAGTGGAAGATAAGTGACCCTGACAGAGGCAGCGCTGCTGAGAGCAGGTGTCTCCTCCTCTGGGGGTTCAGCCTCGCCACCACTCAAGCCTGCTCACAGCCACCCCCATGAGCACTTGGGGTTACAGGCAATAACTTAGACAATGTTAGCAGAAGGAGTACTATGCCAGACTAAGCAGGGCATAATTCATACAAGGTCATCTGACTGCATCATAACAACCTAGCTCTTAAAAAACTAACAGCCTTTAATTGGCATGCAATAAATAAAAGAGCACTTATGATGCAGCATTTTATTTCTGCTTTTCAATTTGGCTACATTTTCTGCAACATTTATAATTTAAGGACAGAGCATCCTCAATTTTTTTTTTTAATTTTAGAAACAGAGTCTTACTTTATCGCCCTCAGTAGAGTGCTCTGGCATCACAGCTCACAGCAACTTCCAACTCCTGACTTAGGAGATTCTCTTGCCTCAGCCTCCCAAGTAGCTGAGACTACAGGTTCCTGCCACAATGCTCAGCTATTTTTTTTGTTGCAGTTTGGCCAGGGCTGGGTTTGAACCTGCCACCCTCAGTATATGGGGCTGGGGCCCTGCCCACCGAGCCACAGGTGCCACCCCTCAATAATATTTTTAAACAAAAAACATTTAGCTACTGCGAAGGTTGAACAAAATCCTAAGGAATTTCAGAGTATTTCATTTAATCAGAGTGCGCAGAACCTGATGCTAATAATTCTGCATAACGTAATAGCAGACAGAAAGTGGTCACCTCTGTTTCCAGAACAGAGAAAGAGGAAGGCTATATGGAAATGCATGGAAATAGTCACTAAGTAAATGTGAATAAAATAACAACTATTTAATTCAAATCTGTCAATGTGAATATACAGTAAATTGCACTGAAGCGTGTTTCCACTGATCTGATTCCTAAATGTCATAATATGTGCTACCTAAGTAGAATGTTAAATAAAACAAGAAAACTCAGCAGACTATGTGAGCCAGGGATGCATAAATCAGCTGAAATCCAGCCCATGTATCTTAGACATGATCCACTCTCACCCCCCAAAATTAAATTGGAACATTTCCTCATGTCATATATTGAAATGGCCTTTTGATCAATTAAAGATAAATGTAAAATACGAAATATTTTTTTAAAAACTAGAGAAACTATTAATGGTTATTGACTTAATTATTGAATGAAAATCCAAAAGCAAAAACACAATAAGAAAGTATTACCATATCTAGCTACATAAGCATTCAAAAATCTAAACATACGTCTTTACACATCTTTTGGGGGGTGGGATGCAATTATAAGAGGGACTTTACCTAACAAATGCAATCAGTGTAACCTGGTTCTTTGTACCCTCAATGAATCCCCAACAATAAAAAAAAATTTCTAAACATAAACACACGTGCATCTCTCCATACATGGACTCGCACGTATGTTTGCATAGATAGAAAGCAAACATTCAGTGCAAAACAAACTGAGAAGAATGTCTGAAACAAGGGTTTGACCCAGGGGTACACGTACCCAATGACTCATAAGCGTGCCATTAGGGAAAATGGGCAACGCGTTTGAACCCAAAAGGCACGGACATCACTAAAGTTCACTTTTACATCTTCTCACTTAGAAATGAAAAGCAGCTCAAAACTACAGCGGAAGGAAAAATTCCCATCCTGCAGCTTTTTAAAGAGTATGAGAAAAATATCTATTTGCTGATAATGAAAAGATTTCTAGGATATAAAGCTGTAAAAGTCAAAATATACGACATAATAGATTTGGGGTAAAACATAAGGAGGAACAATGACATGCGCTGTCTACTAAAGAGAGATTGCAGCTCTGGAAGGCCACCAGGGAGACTCCGAGGAGGCGTTTACTAGGAGCACGCTGGGGTGAGAAGGTGGGAGCGGGGTCAGAGGAAGTTATCTTTATGGGTTGATTAATAAAATCGTATGATTTATTCCCCATAAATAAGTGAAAGTAAAAAACAGTCTAGGGCGGCACCTGTGGCTCAAAGGCGTAGGACGCTGGCCCCATATATTAGAGGTGGGGGGTTCAAACCTGGCCCTGGCCCCAGCCCAAAACTGCCAAACAAAACAAAAAAAAAACAGTCTAGTAGGTAATTAAAATATACATGTTAAAATGATAGATGCTTTCTTACCTATCAAATTGGTAAGCATTTTATGAAATAATATCCTCACCACTACCTAAGTCAGGCTCAAAACTGCGAGAGGAAAAAAAATGACACAACATTTCTGGAAAGTCAAGTGGTTAGAGAGGCCAGGAGTCTTATGTATTTTAGGCTCCTCAATCCACTAATTGCTCTTTTCAGATTCTATTCTAAGTAGGTAATTATAATTTTCAGAAAGAACTAAATGGTCAAAATCTGAATATAAAAAATGAGAAGGAGCTCAGTGTGTTAAAATAACCAAAAGGATTTTACCTACCTTTCTTCTCAGGTTTTTCTTTTTCTTTTACTTTCTCTCTGTCTTTTTCTTTTTCTCTGTGTGTAACTAGAACAAAAAGATAATACTTTTAATTTCAATAAAGGAATAATCAACGAGCTAAATGCCTGGCAATTTTGTTGTGAAAAACTTTTCTGCTACTTTTAGAAATCTTCCCTTAACTAACATGAGATTTTACATAGTTAGAGGTTTAAACTTCAGGATATTTATAGATTTAATTTTTATTTCTATTTTTATTTCATATCCAATTACAATCTAGAACCTCAGTCCAGGTCCAATTGCAAAGATAAGAATAACACTCTGCTTTTTTAAACCTTTAATGTAATGAATTATAACTTTTTATTAAATAATCATATACCAAAAGATCCTAACTTTGACACTGGATGAATTCCAAGAAATACGAGGACGAAAATACCAAGACGTAATCTGCTCAACCAGAAGCAGAACCATACAATCTAAATTGTATGCGTTCATCTTCTACAGAAACATTCCACACCAAGGTATTTGAAAATGTACTGGAATGAGAAAAATCTACTGGAATAGAATTATATAGCAAATCTTTTCAAAGGAAATAAAATGGAATTTAATATGAGCCATGATCCAATTAGCTATTACAACGGGTCTCAAATTCAAGTTAGACTCTTATCCTACACCTTCGTCATGCTTCTTACTCATTACCCAAGCAAGAAACAGAATGCATTCGATTCATCTCTCCCGTTTATTTTTCACTTCCATCCACTCGCCAATCTCTTTCAATAATACTTTTGTAATATTCCTCTTCTCATCTTGTTTTATCCAATACTACACTTCCCTATTATTTATTTATGCACGAATCTCAAGAAAACACTTGCTATGTGGTAAAGACTGCGCTAGGCAAAACAGATGCCATTTCTGTCATCATGAGGTCACCCAGCTAATGAGTGATGATGCTAAACAAATAAGTACAAAAATACTGACCTGCTGTTGTTATAATTGCTATGAAGAAAATACGTGGGATGACATGTCCATATATAAAATAGGACTTAGTGACGTCTGTATGCTTGAGAAAGGTCCCTTGGTTGAAGTGACATTTATGAATGAAAATTAAAAGAAATTAACTTAGTCAAAGTAGGAAGCACAAAGGGGAAAGAAATTAGTTCAGAAAGTTGGACCAGGATGTCCATCTTGGATGTCTTACTATACCTATTAATACAGTACTGCTCGGACAAATCTTTTGAATTTTAAATTTTTCTCCCTTGCAGTAACCTTTCCAACATGAAAATCTGATATCACCTGCCCATTTTAAATGCTAGCATCCTCCTCATTGCTTGGCCTAGTATCTGTCATGTGGCAGGTATCATACCAAATGTAAAAACTATTCAATTGCTCTAGTGATCTGATATTTGCTTGCCAATCTAATCTCATCTACCAGGAATTTCCCCTTGAACTGTACATTTCCATTTTAACAAAATACTTTTAGCTACACAAGTGCACTCTCTGCCCTTGCAATGCCTTTGAATCTCTGCCTGTTCGTGCCTTTTACCCAGAATCACCACACCCACGTTTCTTATTTTCTCATCCCTGTTACGTGTGTTCTTTCCCTGTGCTTTAAATGCCTCCTCCTCCTCCTCTGTAAAGTTTTTTTTTTAATTAATCTCTACTTATTCCAATTGCACTGTGTACATTATTTTAACAATTAAATGATGACACTGCCAATGTTCACATGTCTGTCTACCCAGTAGATGGCATCTTTAGAAGCTGTGTCATAGGATTTTATTTTTGTATCTCTTGCTCATCATATGGCGTCTGTCACACAGTAGACCGACTCTTCATAATACTTTTGAATGAGTGGAATTCTAAAATGCTCTAAAAGCTAGTTCCATCTTCTAGTTAAATTTGGTTTATGAATGATGTGGTACAGATATAATAGGCACTACCTGCTTCCGATTATTTGAAACATTTTATAAGTTATTAAAAATTCTTAAAAGATTAAAACAGTGGGAAACAAGAGAGAAAAAGCCACCTGAGCACATCTAGGTATTATTTTGTCTTTCTGTTTTAGGGGATCCTGAGCTACTAAGTTCGGTATACAAGATCTCACAGAAGTCAGCATTCACACTGACTGCAAATGACTTATTTTGATTCCTTTGGATCCCTATTAATTAAGCTAAAAACCAAAAGAAAATCTTGGCAAAAACAAAGCTTCTTAAAGTTTCTCTAGGGGGAACCAAGTTGGTGCGAGATAAGCTGGGCTTTCAGAGCTCTGATTGGAAAGATCCCCCAGGGAACACCTAATCTTGGTCTCTGCCTCTGTAAAGAATGGGGCTCACCCACCTCAGACAGCTGGTTGTCCATTCCACTAAAGGATTTTCAGATTGACGTGTGCATAGGCATAAATGGGAGAATTAATTCAAAATCAAAAGAGCAAAAGGACTGAATTCAGACTCAAATTAGCATATTAATGCCTCGTTTCTGTTACCCTGGGGAAGAATCTGGTTCCTCCCAGTCAAAGTTTTGATTTACAGACACAGTATTGAATGCTGGAATTTCATTATACCTCTCAGAAATGGCACCATAACACTGCCTAGTGAAGCAGCTGGACTCAAGTGCTCTAGAGAGCCGATCAAAATGGCAGACAGCCACCAAGCCTTCTTGGATCAAAATTGCAGACTTTGGCGAGACTCTGCTGAAATACCAAGTCTTGAAATGACTTTCCACACAGTAAGGCAGCAATCAGTGACTGCTTTGGCAATCATTCTAAAATATAAATGGTTTGCTATAGCAGTTGAATTTTTCCTTGCTTAGAACTCATAACCAGGAGTTTTCCTCTGGAAGAAGAAAAGAGAACTCCTTGTCATGAGCCCTGCTTGGGAAAGTTGTATCTTAGCCAGGACTGTTTTAGCCTAGGATGAAGTAAGCATTTTGCACCTGCTAGAGCTTAATGTGTTTGTCATCCTTATTTACAAGAAACAAAGTCCCTTTGGCATGCTGATAATTAAAAACAAATGGAATCCACCAGTTGGAATGGCCCTGATGTTTGGCATCAGAAATGGCTTGTGCCTTCTGTTCCTGCACTCGCCCAGACTCTGACCTTTGCCTGACCAGAACATTCAGCTCAACTCAAATCAAGTGCATCTCTCACCATCCCATATGGCCCTTCTCCAGCACTTCCCAAGCTGTGCTCTGTGCTTTTGCTTTGACCCTGGAAGCACCAGACAGATTGTGTCTTTTTCTGAAGTGTATCAGAGCTCAGAGCTCCTGGTATGCCCGACCCTCCTGTTCTTTATGGGGCAAAACACTCCCGAGGAGCAAAAAAATAAGGGCCATGTTGTCAGAGTTCTTTTCTTGATCTCTCTGCTCTTTCTTTGAAAATCTAAAGTTTTGGTGCCAAACTTGTAAGGTACTGATTTGTATAGGCCACTGTATTCTTCAGCTGATGGTTAGCAAATGAATTTTATATAACTGAAACTAGAACTCACACTTAACATCATACAACTGCATAGGGCTAATCTTGAGTATCCAAACAAAAAAGAATCAGGTAGATAAGTAAGCACTATACCTTTTCATTATAAAAAGACTATAGGAAGTATATGTAATGAATTTTACTAATTTTTTTCTTTCTTTTTTTTTTCCTAAGACAATGTCTCCTGGGCTAGAGTGTCATAGTGTCACTGTGGCTCATCGCAACCACAAACTCCTGGACTCATGCAATCCTCCTGCCTTAGTCTCCTGAGTAGCTGGGTCTACAGACATAGGCCACCATACTCGGCTAATTTTTTTCAATTTTTGGAAGAGACAAAGGTCTCATTCTTTCTCAAGTGGGTCTTGAATGCTTGACCTCAACCCATTACCCTGCCTTGGCCTCCCAGAGTGCTAGGATTACAGGAAAGAGCCACTGAGTCAATTTCTCTGATTTTTATATTTCTAGGGCTTTTTGAATCACCAAAGTAATACACAAATTTTAAATAGGTCAACATTTCAAACAGCTTCAGAGAATTCATATGCATTCATTGTATTCATGTTTTCATTCATCGTTTTTCTTTATGAAATAGCATGGTACATGTCCATTTATCTTAAACTCTCAACAAACACATCTTGTTTCAGGTAAACAAAACTCCAGATGTACTCCTGGTTAGTGTGTATGTCTCCACGTGTATGTTTCATTCTTTTTGTACCTAATTTGTAGAATTTCAATTCTGTGGGAAGGCAAATGATTACACGCTTTTTAAGAGACAATGATGAACTCTACATAAAAGCATTCTTAAGTAAAAAACACTTCTCAAAGATTATATTACCCATTTTCCCTTCAGGAAGAATTCATAATTTTAACTTTAACGTAAGCACCCAATTTTAGAGCTTGTGGGCACAGAAGGGGTCACCTAGGCTGAAGTTGTTTGTCCATGGATAAGAAAACACAGGCTCATAAGTGTCTGTAGCAGAGGAGGAAAAACATATAAATGTCGTTATCAATTGTTAAACCAGTCCTCCCCCTCCAAACTCAGCAGCCTTGTCTGTCCTCTGTTCCAGATCTAGCGCAGACTCTAAACTTGTACTTAGGGGCCCAAGGGTGCCGACTGGATTCTCCAAGCATGTTATGTACGATTTTCCCTTCAACAGTGTGCATGCTTCTTTTTCATAATAAAATTACTTTAAAATATCCATTAAAGATTTGGAAAATTACCAAAAGTTACAAATCTCATCTGATACATATGCATTGAATCACAACATAGATTTTCTAATTCTAAAATATTAGTTTTATTCTTCAATTCGGTTTAGTTGTATGGACAATTTCCCATTCACCTGAGGCTACATGACCACAGCAAGAACTGCCATCACTTCCTCCTAAGTGAACAGTCCACATGGAGGCGGTGGGGCTGAGCTTTCTGTGTGTACAGCCTTCTGTTCTCATTTGCTAGGTTTAACTTTCACAGCTGCCAGAAAGGAAAAGAAAATATATTTTGTACTTTAAGGAGTCAAGTGCATCTGGGAGAAGACAAAACTATAAGCTTATACAATCCAGGATGATGAGTTTATATAAAAGGCTGCAGGATAGTCTACCTTTTAATGTC